TCTCTGTGGTTTCACCTTCCACGGCTGCCCATGCAAGTGGATACATCTGGTTGTTTGCATCCCTAGAAACAGCAACCAACAATACTCCTTTGAACGCTCCTTTAAGGAAGGCACCATCAAGACCAATAACACGCCTGCAGCCAGCTACAAATCCCAGCTTCATTGCAGAAAAACATATGTACATCCTTAAGAAAACAGGATTTAAATCTGTAGTTGGTCTTGATGCCGATATAATGATGGTGGCAGCAGGGTCTTTCGATCGAAGTTCTACAGCATAATCCCATAATTTACCATATTCCATCTTGCAATCACCCTCAAATGCCTTCCCAATCTTCTCCTTCACCTTTTTCAGTTGATGGTCAGATAACTCAACACTTAACTCTTTCCTAATGACATTATAAATGTCAGTTCTCCTCATGTACAAGGCAGTAAACCCTTTGTGCCTCACCAAGTGCTTTGCAGCTACTGTTGAGTTGCATCGCTTGTTCTTCTTTAACAGCCAGTGGCATGTATGCTCAGACACAAATGTCTTCACCATCCAAGATTCAGTTGGTGCATCCATTGCCAAATAAATCTGCCACGGACAATCTGGTGCCTTCACACATGATGCCCTACATCTTATATTGTCATTTTTTATCCATTTAATATCTCACCTCTGCTTGAGGTTCCACTTATTCACACCATCCCTAAATTGTTGCTTGTTGGTAAACATCATTCCTAATCTAACGTCAGGAGTCTCATCATCTCTTGGCTCTTGGTAAGCCTTATGCGTGGCCCGTCTCCTTTTACCATGTTCAGCTTCACTCGCTTCATCGTCAGATGTTGAGAGATAGCTATCTTCTTCATCACTCCCTATCTCATCAACTTCATTCAAATGTTGTCCACTTGGTCCTCTAGCACTAGAACCTGCTAAACAATATAGATTCTCCATTAAAGAAAGTCACATAGTGAAGAACTCAAAACTCATTGAAGTTAGTTTAGAACAAAAACCTGTAGTATGTGCATCAGAATACTTTACATCAACTGTTGGTCGTTCAAGGTCTTTCTCAATGCTGTCCTCAATGTTGTTGAAAAACTTGACGTTCTTTCTAGCTTGCAGCGTCTCTTCATCTTCATTGTCTGTTAACTCAGGAACATCAATAATATGATCTTCCTCATCATCACCAGACTCAACTCTGACACCATCATCAGTTACAGCATCCCCATCATGAGTTTTAACACTAACACCTTCCTCAGTAATGTTAGCAGCAGCCCCATCAGCACCAACACTTTCCTCATTAACATTAGGTTGAACATTGTCAGTTGCATCGTCATTGTCCTCCTTCTGATCATCACCAGGAGCTGGTAAAAGAAGCACTTCTTCTTCTACATGTGCAAAGTCAGGGACATGAAGTATATAAACATGGATAACATTGACAACCTTTATAATTTCCAGCACCTCCCTCACTGAATCATCATTGACAATTCGCACTAAGCCATCTTCTAAGGTTTTTCCATGTTGCAAATACCATATCCCATCTACCATATCAGGATCATACTTACAAAACTCAACCTTTCTATAAAACTCCCACACTGTTATTTTTTCTGGGTCTACATTCCAAACATAGCACTCCCCATCAACGTATTTAAGGCCTTCGTTCTGCACTAACCTACCACCAACATGCAGAAACATTTTGGCAGTGTTGGCTGACTTATTATCTCTCTATTCAAAAATAAAAAAACAAAAACTCATTAAAGACATAAAGACAGTCGAACAACCAATCTGGCATGCAATTATATTTTACATAGTTAAACTAAGAAAAACACAAATTATTATTGTAATCACCCTAACCCATACAAAAACAAAGAGATCAAGTGGGGACCCAATGTCCTTTTCGCTACCAACTCGAGAAACATACTAAAAAATAACTTCAAATTGCTTTTAGGACATCACCTAACACCTTCACACATCTCGAAAGAAAATAAACTGAAAAAAGGTTCAAACCTCATCCCCACTGAGATCTGGGTCGGCATTGACATCTACGATGTTCGAAGACTCCATTGTTCTTCGATTTCCACCTCTTTTAGCACTAAACGCAAAGATTCGAAAGTGAAAGATCAAAGATTCGCGAGCAAAAAAGCAGGAAGGAGAATGGGACTTTTGGCTTTTCTGCAGGTACGGTGTGCCCTCTGCACTTCTAGGGTTCGAATGGGAAGAAGGGGAGGATATACTGAATTTGGGCAGGAGGTGGGCCCCACGTTTTTATTTTTTTTGCTTGGCGGGAATCTGACGTGTTTTATGACATGCCATCTTTTTTCCATGTGTACATATGACGTGTCACGATATTTGGCCATGTCATCGTGTTCCCGTTAGTTAACAGTACACGTCATTGGATTTTTAACGGAAGGACCAAATCGGGGTAAAAATGATAAATAGTAGGGACCAAATCAGGGATTTTTTTAGTTCAGGGACCAAATCGAGGGTCCGTACAATAGTTCAGGGACCAAAAAGGGGGTTTTAACCTATAATAAAATAATAAAATATGTACGAACCGAAAACGATCTGGAAATGTGGCGGAAAGAGGCATAGCAAATATATACGGACCGAGATCGGTCCGAATATGGAGAACCCAACAACAACTTTTAAAACTTGCAATTATATCCAGACCGTTTTTGGTTGGAATATGTTGGACTTTCTTGTAACTTTTAAAAATTACTGTCCCAACCGGCTTCATTCTGAAAATATATCCACACCGGTTTCGGTCTAAATATATTGGACTTGGTTATAACTTTTAAAAGTTCC